CCCTCTCTCTCTCTCTCTTCCTCTCTCTCTTTCTTTCCCTTCCTTCCTTCCTGCCTTTCTTTCTTTCTTTTTTTCTTTTTAAAGATTTATTTATTTATTTATATGAGTACACATTGCAGCTATCTTCAGACATACATCAGAAGAGTGCATCAGACCCCATTACAGATGGTTGTGAGCCACCATGTGGTTGCTGGGAATTGAACTCAGGACCTCTGGCAGAGCAGTTGGTGCTCTTAACCACTGAGCCATCTCTCCTACTCTTTCTTTCTCTCTCTCTCTCTCTCTCTCTCTCTCTCTCTCTCTCTCTCTCTCTCTCTCTCTCTTTTCTTTTTGAGACCAAGTTTCTCTGTGTAGTCCTGGCTGTCCTGGAACTCTGTAGACCAGGATGGCTTCGAATTCACAGAGATCCACCTGCCTCTGCCTCCCAGGTAAAGGCATATGCCATCACTGCCCGGCTTTGTCTCTCTTTCTCTGTCTCTTGCTCGCTCTCTTTCCTCTTTTTCTTCTTTCTTTTCTTTCTTTTTTTTTCAGTGATGTTTTATTGTACAACTACAGCCATAGCTCATACTCAGGAAACAGAATGGCTTGCCTGCCTCTCCCTGGCCTCAAGAACAGGGGCAGGAGGATAGGAGATTTTATTCAACTGGAGATAAGATTGAGATGTTTAGTTTTTGTACTAAACTAGTCATTTGGCTTTATATTGGCTTTATATTATTTTGTTCTATTTTTATGTTGTAGTGTTTTTTGTATATATACGTTTGCATATCATATGTGTGCCATACACAGAGAGGATACCAGATTCCCTGGAACTGGAGTTACAGATGGTTGTGGGCTGCTTGGCCTGGGTGCTCTCAATCAAACCTGGGTCCTCTAGGAGAACAGTCAGTACTCTTAACCAATTAACCATCTCTCCAGACCTTGGTGTTTTTTTGTTTGTTTGTTTGTTTGTTTGTTTTTATTAAATACAGAGTCTATGTAGCCCAGGCTAGCCAGCCAAAGTAACCAAGGATGATGGTGTGATCCTGATTTTCCTTTCTCTATCTCCCAAGAGCTGAGATTACAGATGTGTGCTATCATGCACAGTAAGAGTGAGGTTTGTTGTTTGGGGAGGGTGCAGCACGGAGCTTTTGTTGTCTTGTTTTACATGGGACATTTCATCACGTGTGGTCACTGAGCTCCTCAAACAGGTGGAACCGGACTACTTCACACCATCAGAAGTGGCCATGACACAGAGTCTATTTCCCTCAGCAGTACACCATACAACGTAGAGTAGTATCCAGACCCAACAGCTACGGTCTGGGGACTGTGGTGGGGATGGTTGAGGGGCCATGGATAATATCCAGGATGAACTACATATTAGCAGATATCATCAACCAGGTACTACCTTGTTGAAATCAATATGGTGTAGACATAATTTGTGTGCCCCTCCGAAGGTCCATATAGACAGTTGGTCCTCAGGGAGTGATACAGAGAGGTGTTTACACCTTTAAGTGATATGGTTTATGGTTGAGGAGATGGGTCAGGTCTTGTTGTGCAAGCGTGAAGACCTAAGTTTGGATTCCCAGACAGATGCGGCAGTAGACACACCTGTAACCCCAGTTGTTTGCAGGCCAACACAGGTAGATCCTGGGAGCTCTCCTGGCAGCCAGTATGACTGAAGTGGTGAGTTCTGAGTTCAGTGAAAGATCTTGTCTCAAAAAATATGGTGGAGAAGTGACTGAGAGAAACATCTTGATGTCAGTCTCCAGCCAACACATGTGCCTGCATAGGCAAACATGTTCACACAGAGGTGGGATCTGGTGGGGGAGGTCTTTAGATCAGTGGGAACATGTCCTCAAAGGAGTCTAGAACGCTACCAAGCTTCTGTCAGCTTCCTGGCTTTATATAAGTACCCACTCCTAGGACAGGCAGTTGCTACCTTCATTAGAAGGTTCTCTCCCATCCCTAACCTCTTCCCCATGTGACAAATCTTTAGATGCCCCAGCTCCTGCTACTATCAGAGGTAAGTGTTCACTCATTATAGACTCTCGTGGGCAGAATGTTTTTACCTTCAACTACTGGCCTTCCACGGGGGTTACAGGCACTGTATAGACCCCTAAGTCCTCACACAGTACTGTCTTACTCAACTGCTGTCCAGATCATGTCTACATCTCACCCCCATGCCTGTCTCCTATCTCCCCTATCCCCACCCCTACCCCAGAGAGCCACATTCCTGGACTTTCTCATACACAACAGTGAACTCATGGCCATCCATTGTTGCTGCTGTTGTTTCTTCTTTATGGACACTGTGGTGGTTTTTAATGAGAATGGCCCCCATAGGCTCATATGTTTGAATGCTATTCCACAGTCACTGTTTGAGAAGGATTAGGAGGTGTGGCCTTGTTGTAGGAAGTGTGTCACCAGGGGTGAGCTTTGAGGTTTCAAAAGCCCACACCAGGCCCAGTCTCTGCCTTCTACTCAAGGATCAAATGTGAGTCTCGGCTACTGCCGGCCTTCTTGTGGCCACGCATCCCTCCATGATGACCATAGCTTAACCCTCTGAAACTGTAAGCAAGCCCTCAATCAAACGCTTTCTTTCATAACTTGCCTTGGGCATGGTGTTTCATCACAGCAATAGAACAACAATGACTAAGGCCTTTTTGTTTCTGATTCCAGTCTATCTCAGACAGGACCATTCAGTGTTGATAGTTAGGGGAGGGCTTAAGAAGTTTGCCTTTTCTTTTCCTATAAAGCAACAACCCCAGAAAGAGCAAAAGTTCTGCAAAAAGAGCTTCACCAGTCCCACAGTGACAGCTCTGGGGGGCAAGGCTGGCCCTTTCCTCAGAGTTCCCCACCCTCTGTAAGATCATTGGGTCTCAAAGAAGAGCTCTTTCAAGATCTTGTGTCCAAGATAGCACTGACTCCAATCTTCCTTTAAACCTTATACAGAACTGACTCATGGGATTCAGTCTGGAGATGCTAACAGCAGGTATCAGCACCAAGGAGGGAGGATGATGTGTTGGTTTTAATATTTTTATTATTTTTTTAACTCTGTGTATGTGTGTATGTCGATGTGTTTGCATGTGCATGTGAATGCAGGTGGATCCTTTGGAGCTAGAGTTACAGGCAGTTGGGAGCTGCCTCAGATGTGGGTGCTGGGAGCCAAACCTAGGTCCTCTAGAAGAACAGTGCACTCTCTTAACCACTGACCCATCTCCACAGCCCCCATGGGTTCTTTGTACACTTCCTGTGCAGTGAGTTGCAGACCAACTTTGTCCCAATGTCACTCTTCCATCTGCAGCAGGCACTCAGGGATTCAAATGGATTCCACTTCAGACCTTGATACTCTCTCTTGACATTCTAGAAGCTAGGCGCCACCGCTTACAAACAGAATCCTGATACTTTTTTTTGTGTTCATAGATGGCCACCCGAAAGATTACTGGCTTTGTGGACTCTATTCCTGTAAGGTCACGGCTGACTCCCATGCCCTCATCAGAGGCACAGCAGCTAGCTTCGATGCTGGTGCCTAATGATACACATACCCTAACCGCCACTAAAACATCACTACTGCCTAACAGTATAGTGAAGTTCAGGGTTCGGTCACTCATTCAACAATCCATTAGTCCAGGAGAGAAGGTGTCACACTGTCATGGAAGAAGGCAGTATCCAAGGCTGGAGGATATGTACCCCGTCCCCCGTCCCCAGCTACCACCCAGCAAGTTTCTTGTCAGGCACAAAACGTATAGTCAGCAGGTGACCTAAGTTAGGGCCGCTACCAAAGAAACTACCTTTCTCAGGAAGAAGCTGGATATCCACTGCCACTCAAATATTTCAATCCCAAAGCATCTATTGAAAGCGGTTTCTTTGCTTTTGGAGTTTTTTTTGTTGTTGTTTTTGTTTTGTTTTTTGAGTCCTAGTTCTACCACACACAAAGCACTAAAGCTGGACCCAGGTTTCCTGTGTGAAATGGAGGCCCCCAGCACCCACCACTGAGATGTAAATTGTCTCATCTGGGAATTCGTGTAGGGTGAGGGGACACTCAGACAGCATGGTCATTGTCACAAGTTCTAAGACTCCCAGACAAGCTCATCCATACCAAGGATGTTAGTTTGTTCCTTGTTTTTTTTCTTCCCTCATCTGTTTGTGATCACCCTGAAAACCGATGCTGGTGCCACCCTATATGGGGCACACAGGTCATGAAAGGTCACAGCTCACATCCATCCTACCAGCCTAATGAGGATGCACCCATCCCAGTACTGACAGGTGGAGACCCTGCAGGTGTGAGGACAACCAGTGTAGACACCAGGCTCTCAGATCCCTCCTGGTCTCTGTCCTACCTTCCACATAGGGCGGATTATTAAGTCTGGCAGAAGAAAGTGGAGGCGAGAGAAGACCCTGAGGATCCACTGAACCACACGCCATGGCAAGAAGTCCAGCCCTTACCGCTCCTTAGAACAAGATGGAGCGTCTCCGTGGTGCAAGGATTCTAGAACTCAGTTGTTTACTTAGGATCGAAGAGGGCAGGCCTCTGCCCAAGGGTAGGGGCTCACCCTGCTGAAGCACCCTCAAAGGGTTGCCACAGCCATGGAGGGAGGCTGTGGGAAACCATTCTGGAATGGTGCTTTGGGGGTTCAGTGCTGAGCCTGTGACTGACCATGCCTATTTCATTACAATGTCTCTCGAGCCCAGCTCTCAGCAAAAGGACTTCATGATGCCCTCATGTCTATCTCTGAGCCTGTGACCCTTGTTGCCTTGATAGCACCAAGGGTGAGGTTTGTGACAGTGTCTTATGGTTAGCCCATGGAGAATTCATGTTAGCCTCCACTGATGAGCCCCTAGAGATATGGAAACTGAGACACGACTCCTTTGCATAGCGTACAACTGCTCTCTAACTGGAGACTTCCGTTTTCCCTCAGGGACTGTATTTTCAAAAGAGAGCAGGTCCTGGCTGTGTGGCTGCTGGGGAAAGCAGCAACCTGCAGGCTTGAGTATTTATCCTTCAACAGAATCAATGGTGTCTAGGGACACCACCCCACCTCTCCACTTGAGATATCTTCTTCCTTCCAGGATCCTAGTTCCTCACAGTGTCCACGATTGCACTCCGCTTCTGCTGCCCCCTGTCACCTGTGGTGCTGAAGGCCCAGAGTGACACACTCTTACAGGCTGCTGAGGGGGATGGACAGACATGATCCCTGGAGGGGACCATTTAGTAAAACAGATGTACAGAGAACACAAGCTTCACCCTAGGAACAGTATAGAGACAGCAAAGGACAGACTTCACAGGAGGCTGTGGGGATGCCTCTGTGGAAAGGGCCCACCTGCTGCCTCAGAGAACGGGTGCCCAGTGGCTCCCCAGCACTGAATGTGGCTGTATGTGGCTCTGTGAAAAATCCCATAACATGGATGAAATGGCCTCTGAACTGGAAATGCGCTTGCTGTGTGACGTTCAAAAACAAGTAAATCAAACTTTTTCCCTTAGGAATTGGTGGTAGAAAATGCCGAAAATGGTAGTTCCTATAGTCGGATGCTCTCGACACAGCAGAAAGGACACAGAAAGGGGAGAGAAAGTGAAGAGAGAACTTAAAAGAGAGAAACTCTGCCTCTGTGAAAAATAAGTTTCTTTTAAAAATATGTATTTTACTTTATGTGTGTTTACCTGAAAAAAATATATATGGGGACCACATGTGTTCTGTATCCACAGAGGCCAGAAGAGGGTGAGTAACCCCCATCCCTAGAATCTAAGTTACAGACAGTTGTGAACCACCATGTGTTGCAGGAAGGAAAACCCAGGGCCTCTGCAGCAGCAGCAAGTGCTCTCAACTGCTGAGCCATCTCTCCAGCCCCATCTTTCAAGACTTTCTTTTGAGAAGAGAGAGGGTATTTGTTCAATAAAACAAAGATAGTAAAATAAAAACCAAGCACATTTGTAATCAAGTGATGAAAATGCATAAAATTCATTTTATGTAAAAAGAATTATGCATGTATGGGTAGTTTTGCCTGTTTGTGTGTCTGAAACTCAAGGAGGCCAGAGAGGGTGTCATATCCCCTGGAGCAGGAACTGCAGGTGTTGTCAGCTGCTGCGAAGATGCAGGATTTGATAGTGATCTCTCTATCTGTTGCTATTTGTTCTCTTACTTGGAAACCTCACCGGGGTGGGGGTGGGGTGTGTGTGGGGGGAGAAGTGTAGGGAATCTGCTCTGCCTGGGACTCTCTACAGGAAGTTCAGTTGACTCAGCAGGATTTTCCCAATTTCTTTCTCCCTTTCCTTTCTTTCTTTCTTTCTTTCTTTCTTTCTTTCTTTCTTTCTTTCTTTCTTTTGTTTTTTCGAGACAGGGTTTCTCTGTGTAGTCCTGGCTGTCCTGGAACTCACTCTGTAGACCAGGCTAGCCTCAAACTCAGAAATCTGCCTGCCTCTGCCTCCCAAGTGGTGGGATTAAAGGCGTGCGCCACCACCACCTGGCTCCCCAGTCAATTACTGCTGGGTGTTCTTACACCTGATTCAATGGTATCTATCTATCTATCTATCTATCTATCTATCTATCTATCTATCAATCAAATATCTATCATCTATCCATATCAGCTATCTATTATTTATCTGTTGTCAATTATCTATCATTTATCTATCATTTATTGATATCTATAATTTATTATTTACCTGTCATCTATCTATCATCTACCTATTATCCAACCATCTACCTAACACTATTTATTATTTTAGTTTTGTTTGTTATATGCTCAATAAACTCACTCATTCAAAACCCAAAGTATGGTTGTCGTAGACCCTTCTCCAAACCATATAAAACAAAAGTCTAAGATGAATAGACAAATCCTTTTTGTGTAGTAGGGCTCTCGGAAACCCACAGACTGTGCAGGTGTAACTTGAAGGAGGTATTGACGAGATTTGAAAGACACAATTGGCAAGCAGGGAGCACTCAGCTAAGCAGGGAGCACTCAGCCGTAACACAAACTTTGTTCCACAAGTGTTTTCAATTCAAATGCATGGAGCACTCAGATTGGGCAATCAAGCCTTTGAGGGGTTTTGTAACTCTCTACAGTGGGAGGACCATGCTTTTGATAATCAGTTTAGAGAGAGGAAAGAACGAGAAAGGAAGGAAGGGGGAATGGAGGGAGGAAGGGAAGGAAGGAAGGAAGGAAGCTAACTAGCTAGACAGCTGAGTCTAGAACTCTGGCCATGGATTGCTACCTCTGCTGGCCCACAAGGTGTATTTCCTCTGCCCACTGACACTGTGACCACTATACAAGTCAGGAAGCTGACACCACAAGCCCAGGCCCTTACTCCTACGTCCCAGTACTAGAAACACGCAGAAAACATGAGCCCCCAAACTAGGGGCTCCTCCCATCTACCTGAACCTCCAGAATCACCCCCCAAAAACCGGGAGGGGGGCGAGAATAAAAGAGAAGAGAGACAGCTCATGCTGACACAAGTTTAATCTCTGTTCTTGGTCTTAAATTCCAGAATGCTGCTTGAGTGACCAGGAGAAGGGGAGGACAGCTCAGAATCAACAGTCCTCCCTGCTAGGAGGCCAAAGCAGGATGCAAGTTCTCCAGGGACCATTGCATGTCTACTCTGACTCCTGTGGGATATGGGTATGCAACTGTGCTCAGTTATCTACCTAGTGCCGTTCAGCAGAGGCAAAACCGGAAGACGAAGGGGTGGGGAAGTCAGGGGCTCACTGGGAGCTGCAGCAGCCAGGGCAGGAGAAGAAGCCAGGAGGGCCCTGACAGCGGCCCATGGCTCACTTGCTCCTTGATCCATATGGTGTATTTGGTGATGCGGGTGTACACATTTAGATTCGGTGTTTTGGCACAGGTCTTCTCCCATGAGAATACCCCGGCCAGAATCCATCTGCCGTCAACTTCGCAAGCCAATGGCCCCCCAGGGTCTCCCTGGAGAAGACAAAAGGACTGATGGAGGCTCTGCTGGGACCAAAGGACCTACAATGCCCACCCTCTCAATTCTGCTTGAGAGAATCATTTCTCCTGGAGCTCACTAGCTGGGGTCCCTTTGTTTCTCAGTTGGACACCACACCTATGAATTGCAGCCAGCAGCAGTCATAAAGGACAGTGAGAGCAGAGTCTAGTCACGGTAAGGGGGAAAGAAACCGTGCCCCAGGGAACAGGCCCCATCCCAGGACTCACTCCCGAGAAAGAGTTGCCAGAATACTCCCAGAAACTCACGTAGCACACGTCTTCCCTATAATTGGTGGTACAGATCATGTTCTTCCGGATAAGGGGGATAACTCGGGGATAGGAGATCTTCTTGTGGAAAATACTGTCACAATTCTTGTTGTCTATAATGAATACCTCAGCCTCCCAAAGCTCTGGAGTCAGTGTCAACTTGGCTGTAGGGAGCATAAGGGATAAGCTGTGACCCTACACTCCACTCAGCCCTGGCTCTGCCCAGTGTCGTGGACCTTCCTGCAGGTCAGCGGAGCTCTACCCTACCGCACTGTGTATCTTCCTTCCAGTGGTCTTTCTCTGCAGTGCAGGCCCAACATAGCAAGCCCCTCAGCAGGAAAGGTCTCGGTTCAGGAGCCTCTTCTCTAGGGAGGTTTTGCTGCTGAATCCAGAAGGCTACTGAGTACCAGAACAACCACTTATAACTTGGGATGGTAACCCTATGATTTCTCTTTCCATGGCATTTGTTCCCTTTGTCCCAGCCGACAGCTACGTCTAGGCATCAGGTCATCTATCTGTTTGGAGCTCAGCGCAGATCCTCTGACCTTTGCTTTTTTTTTTTTTTTTTTTTTTTAACAGTTTCACATGGCCCAGGCTGGTATGAAACTTACATACTTGAGGCTGACTTTGAACCCATCACTTCCTGGCTCCTCCTCCCTAATGTTGGATTACAGGTGGCATTCATCCCTACACTTGGCTTCTTGGACACTTGCTTTGTCAGCCTCTGTACTGCTTGCATCACTCTGTCCTTTCTTGCATTCCAATGCCAAGGGCTCAGAGTATGGCAGCTGTTTCAATAGTGACCAGGGAGGGAGGTGAGGAGGAAGGGAGGGAGGAGGACTTGGTGACTCTAAAAGGCAGAGGATTGCACCTACCAGCCCAAGCAGTATTAGCCTTACTGCAGTGCTGTGTGAGTCACGACAGTGAGCACCACATAAGGAAAGACCACAGCCATAGCTTCCTCAAAGGCATCATAAGGGAGGCTACAACAAAGACCCAAAGAGGCGTCCCCAACCTCATCCAACTTACCAGAGGAGTGCTGCTTAGCCTGGCCCCAGCCAGTCACCCAGCACCTCATCCCGACCTTGAAGTTGAAGTTGTGCTCTGGGAGACAGATGGGCTGCACGTACTTATTGAATGTGACAGGGGTTTCAAGACAGAGAAGGGCAACGTCGCTTCTGATGAAGTTCCGGCCCCAGTACTTGGGATGCATAATGATGTCACCCACAGGAATCTTCAGGGCCCGGGAGGAGCCGTTGGGGTGGAGCGTGCTGCTCCCCAGCATCACTGAGTATTCTTTGTTGCTGCGGGGAGTTCAGGAGCCCACCTGGTAGACATCAGTTTCCCGCACAAGTATGCACCTGCCTCCTCCCGGACCGTTCCCGTCTCTGAAGTCCACTCAGTCTGGGCTAATATAGCCTGGGGTGCTCAAGGGCAAAGACATAACAGCCCTCTCATTCACAGTCACATTGAGTCAAGGTGTGTGGGTGTTGGTACCCATAAATATTGTCCTGGTGTGTGTGTGGGGTGTGGGGGGTGTGCTGGGTTTTACTGTTGCCCAATTTAGGATACAGTCTCTATTGCTTGGGGTCCTATCCCAACTTAGTCAGAGGATCCTGTGAGATCTTGAGCCTGGCTCTTCCCACTCGTCACTGTTCCCACCTCCTGCATGGTTTCCTATTAGTATTGAGGGAGGTGGAATGGGCCCGAGGTAGCTCTTGGTCTTTAGGTCCTGGGTACACGGGTCACACTCACCCCTGGATGCAGTGAGCCGCGGACACCACCCAGCTTCGATCAATGAGGGCCCCTCCACACACGTGTTCATTTTCTATCTGAAGGCTCACTTCCCAGGGCCAGTGGTGGCTCTCCTCCAAGTTGTCAGGCCACCAGGGTGTGCCGCAAACTTCAGAACAGGCAATGCAAGAGAGTACAGAGTCCACAGAGAGGAAAATCAGAATGATCAGGAACACGTCACCCTTGGGGTCAAGTCGCCAAGGCTGTAACATCAGAGGATTCTTCCCATTTCAAATAGAAAAGACTGTCAGGGAGAGAATAGTGGCCCCCAAGGATGCTACTGAACCGAACGAACAATGACAGTTACAGAGATAAGATATAAAGAGACATAAAGAGACATAAAGAGACAGAGAGACCTTTCAGCTGGAGATTGGAGAGTCACAGAGGGACACTTCTGCCCAACCTCAAGACAATGCAGAAACAGAACAGGGATTTGAAAACAAGAAATGCCTTTCTTGCACAGGATTCTGTTCTTCAAAAGCTGTACCGTCAGCTGCATTTCTTTGATGACAAAAAAATAAATATCTATGAACTTCTCTATGGGAGGTCTTTACCCTAAGCAGTCTGCAGCTCTCAGTTATTAGTTTGTCTACTGGTCTACCAGTTGACAAGGTTTGGCAAATGCCTTTAATCCCAGCATTCAGGAGGCAGAGACAAGCGGATCTCTGTGAGTTCAAGGCCAGCCTGGTCTACACAGGGAGTTCCAGGATAGCCAGGGCTATAGATAGAGATCCTGTCTCCGATAGACAGGTAAAATAATAAAAATAAAAACAAAAAATTGAAAAAGAGGAGACAGAAAACCTCAAAACATATTTATAAAAAGAAAGAGTAGGTTATGGGCAATAATATAACAAAGCAAAATTACAGACACATTTGGAAGTGTCTTAACAAAACTGATGGTGTACTAACTCAAAAAGCTGGTGAGAAGCTGGAGAGGCTGCTCAGCGGTCAAGAGCACTTAACCAGAGACCCAGGTTTGGTTCTTAGCACTAGCATGTTGACTGACAATCACTTGTAACTCTAGGTCTCGAGGATTAGATACCGTCTTCTGGCACAAGGCACAGACACATATACAGACAGTCTTGCACAGAAAATTAAAAAAAAAAACTATTTTATGTCCAAATAATAAACATCTTTAGGGGGCTAAGGAGACAGCTCAGCTGGATAAGTGCTCGGTGTGCAGGCATGAAGACATGAGTTCAATCCCCAGTACAGGGTGAACCCAGGCATGGTAGTACACACTTGTGATCCCAGGGCCAGGGAGAAGGGACAGGCAGATGGCTGGAGCTCACAGTCTATCCTAATCAGTAACCTCCCAACCAGCGACAGACTCTGTCTCCAGAAACCGAGTGGCCAGCATGTGAGCAACAACAACTGAGTTTGACTTTTGGTCTCCACATGCATTTGCACGTACATGCGTGCGCACCCCCTTTAAATGAGACTGAATTACAGAGGGAAAATTGAAAGGGGCGAGGCTTGGACAGAAGCAAGAACGTAGTAAATCAACCTCGTAGTCAATAGTGAACCTTACAGGAGCCTAACAGCCCAAGGCAACCCACTCCTATGACCCCAACCATGCAAAAAGACAGGAAGCCCTGGGAGCTGGGCTCTTGAGACAATGGCCCAGGAGGCTTGTTCTGCAACTGTGGGAAAGGCGCCACGCCTGAGCTGAGTTCAAAGTGGCTCTACATTCCCATGGAAGACCCAGGCATCCTTTGTTCCAAACAGCAGGGTTGTGTCCTGGCAGCTACATGTGCTGTTCTCACCAAGCCAGAGGTGCTTTTTAGGCAGAGACGTTGAGAACATATTTTTACCAGAACTGAAACTTTCCCTGCCACGAGGCCCATTGACCCACCTGGTTTCCTGTGGTCCTCATTGTCACCTGAAGAGAAAAGGAGGACAGCCGTGAAGCAGGAACTTGTGGCAGGATAGCAGTAAAGGGGTGTGTCGTCACTGTCATCATCATCAACTCATTCATTGAAGAGTACTTAGTCTCATACTGTTCCCCAGTCTGAAGTCACAGACTGGGAAACAACTGTGCAAGGGCCTATCTGGAGACATGTGTTGCCCAGCCCACCATATGAGATGGGGCGGGGCCTGGGCCAGAGGCAGCAGGTGAATCCAGAAGATGTGGCAGGTGGAAGAGACAGCCGAGAGGAGAGAACACCAGGAAACGTCTCAAAGAGGAGAGAAACAAAATAAATATTTATTAAAAAAAAATCCCTCCGGGAAGAAACACAAATATATTCCAGAGACTCTGGAGGACAAAACCAACATCCGTGGTGGAGGAGAAAGATGATGTGCGGGGGTGGGGTAGCTCAGTTTTCCCGGGGTAACTGAATTCATCCAGGGAGCAAAGAAGAGGGAAGAGGCAAGGAATCAAACAGCACCTTCAGAAACACCCTTACATCAGAGATGAGCAGAGACGGGGTGGCCTGATGTGAGTACTGAGGAGAGGGGTGTGTGTGTTTGCGTGCGTGTGTGTATGTGTGTGTGTGTGTGTGTGTGTAATCCCAAAACTAAGGAGGTGGAGACAAGAGGTTCAGGACATCAAGGCTACCCTAGGGCTCATGAGACCTTATCCCCTCCTCCCCAACACCACCAATGAAAGAAGAAAAAAGGGGGAAAGAAAGGGGCTACGGGAGAAGCCACGGGAAATTAAAAAAAAAAAAGGAGAGAGAAGTCAAACAAACAAAACCAGGAACAGTAAGGGGAAGAACACGTCAGGAATGGGCTGAGGATTACATGGGAAATAAACGTACCGGAGGGAAACACGCAATGCTAATGACTCTTGGGGAAAGCTGGCCCTGGGAGGGATGGCAGGGGAAAGGCGGTGCACACCTCACACCTCGGGCTGGTATTGGAGCTTGACTGATGTAAGCCCCGCCTCTCAGCATGGGGAGGGCCCTGCTCCAGTCCCACCCCGCTCAGGAAGCACACTCTCTTTGGCAGTCAGATTTGGAGGGATCTCTGGTGGCTGCGGGGCAGGGGACTATGAAAAGACAGCCCTCAAGGCTTCTTTCCGTGACAGCCTCTGCTAGATGGAAAGAAGCCAACGTTTAGAATATCATCCTTTTGAGAGGATGGAGACAACACGATAGGCAGAAGGCGCCCGGCTGCGGAGGGAGGCCAGGGATGCTCCCCAGGCCTGTTGTCTCCAGGAGGCCACAAGGGCGCAGTTGTGGCCTGAGGAACTTAGGAGTGGTAGAAGAGAGGTGACAGCGAGGTGGGGATGGCACACAGAAGTTTCAGGTGGCAGAAAGGAATAGCCAACCTGAGCAAGACTGGAGGGGAGAGGACCCAGAAAGAAAGGACAACAGAGAAGGAGGTGCCTGTCTCACCTAAATTTGGCCGCGGAAGCAGCAACTGTAGCACCGCCAAGCAGGTTAGGTTCCAGCGCCTCAAGGATCCAGGCCGCGCAATGACGTAGCCATCCATGAATATGTCCCTATGGATGCCAGAGATAGCTCCGGCGTGCTGTCACGTGCCCACACCCCAGTACGTGATGGCGTCTAAGACACGTAACTGACCTGGCGCCAAGAGCCTGACCATGCCTCTTCAGGGCCTTTGAGTTCCCGCATCTGGACCCACACTAGTCCTTAAGATGACTTCGGATTCCTTGACTGGGACTAGATCCCAGATTCCAGATCTATGGACTCACCCTCAGTGCTCTGTGATCGTGGCGGCGCATCCTGGGCCTAACTGGTCGAAGATCCATGGGCTGGGATTGGCAGTTTGATGTCCAGCCTCAGGGTATACCCTTGTTCTTAGTCTGTTGCACAAGGCATTTCACAGTCACTATTGACTGGGGCCTGGAAAGCCCAAGAAAGAAAATAATACAGGCAGGAAAGACGGTTTTGAGAACGTAATGGCTGAACTGGCTCTAAGACTAAATCAAGGCGGGATCAGGATGCTGAATAAAGAAGGGCAGCTGTCCTTTTCCACAGACCAACAATATGACAGGAGGTTACCACTGACGGGGACTGGCTGTTTTTTTGCCTGGCTTTGGTCATAAACAGGGCTTTTCACAGAAGGATGATCTTTCTGTATTTACAGAGCCTAGCAGAGATTGGGAGGTGATCACCAAAATTTTTCTGTTCCCTTTGTTTATTCCAGGTGTCCAACAGAACTCTGGGGACCCCATCACCCAGCTTGTCATTTAAATTTTATATTTTTATGTGTATGAGTATTTTCTCTGTATGTTTGTCTATGCACCACAGTATGTGTCTGATGCCCACAGAAGCCAGAAGGCAGCATCAGATCCCCTAGAGCCGGAGTTAGAAGCCACCATGTGGGTTCTTGTGAATCAAACGTTGGCTCTGTAGAAGTTCTTAACCACTGAGCCATCTCTCCAGGCCCACAGCCTGGTGTTTAAATGAGTTTGAATAAGTAAACAATGCCAATCGAATGTCGAGGCAGGCAAGAGAAGTTTGCCTTCTGCGGGTATTTGGTTCCCAAAGTTAGGCCTCCTCCACTCAGCTGGACCAGCAGCTCCTGGGAACTTACTAGAAATCTTCATTCTCAAGCCCTGGCCCAGACTTCCAGAGTTGAAGACTCCCTTAGTGAGACCAATGATATGGAGTGTGTGTGTGTGTGTGTGTATGTGTGTAAGGCAAGGTCTGTGGTGATTTGAATAGACTTCACCCCCATAAATTCAGTTGTTTCAACGTTTGACCATGGAGAGTGGCACTATTGGAGGTGTGGCCTTATTGGAGTAGGTGTGGCCTTGTTGGAGGAAGTGCATCACAGTGTAGGCAGGCTTTGAAGTCTCCTATGCTGAAGGTCTGCCCAGTGTGGAATCAGGGCATCTTCCTGGCTGCCTGATGACCACAATCTCTTTAGGCTGTCTGTGGATCAAGATGTAGAACTCCCCTTTCCTCCAACATCATGCCTGCCTGCCTGCACACTGCCATGCTTCCCACCACGGTGGTAATAAACTAAACCTCTGAAACTGTAAGCCAGCCCCCAATTAAATGTTTTCCTTTGTAAGAGTTGCCTTGGTCATAGTGTCTCTTCACAGCAATAAAACCCTAAGATAAGGTCCCTCTCTGTGTAGTTCTGACTGGCTTTGAACTTGTGGTAATCCTCCTGCCTCTGCCTCTTGAGTGCTAGGATTACAAATGTCTCCCATGACTCCTGGCAGTAACATGGATTTTAGCAAGCTCTCGGGGTATGGTCACACAGGTGAAGGATGGACCATGAGGCTAAGAGTAGGGCTCTACAATGGGGGGAAGCTACCTGTCGACACAGAATAACTCATAGTGAGCAAAGTTAAATATGTATTGTTAGTCTATAAAGAGCTAGCTGGTGGTTTCTGGAGGGTGGAGGTGGTTTGGGTTTTTGTTGTTTTAACACAGTACTTCATGTATCCCAGGTTAGCCTCAAACTGAGATTGGGAAGAGACCCATTAGCAAATCAGCAATCGGTTAGGGATGCCAAACCCAGTGTGAGATGGAAGGGCTATATACAGTGTAGTGAATCTTCCTTAAAATCCTCCTGACTTTGGGAACACAGCCTTTGGAAATAAAGTCACGTGAACAGCAAGAAGAGAGAAGACTGTTTCTCATGTACCATCTTCACTCTCCCTCCCTGCCCCCCCCCATCCCGTCCCTAGTTCCTGCTTCCTCTGAGCTGCTCTTGGCTGTAAAAGTGCTAAAGTTCTTGCGCAGGCTCAGAGGGAGCTTGACTACCTGCCAAAGCTGCCTGCAAGACTCAGCTCTTCTGTGCTCTAAGAGGAACTTCCCTAGGTAAATGGGGGGTTCAGTTCCCTAAGCCAAATATCCCAGGTGAGCAAAGCTTCAGAACACACAGGACATTCTCTAAATATTTATTCAGTTTGTGTTTAAAATCTCCCCTCTCCAGTACCTCAATACAACTTGGGGTGACCCTGGATGTGACCACTAAGGTACTGAGGAAGGGTGCCAGGCAGGATTGCCTTCTCGTGAAGTCTATGAAGCAGAGGCTGATCACTCTCTGGCAGATCCCCAAGTGGGTACAAGGGAATTTCTGCCAGCCCCAGATACAAAAGTCCCAGCCTCATGCCTCTACAGGAACTCGCCAACATTCCCTTTTTCCTCCCTTCTCGTTCTCCCTCTCTTCCATTAGTCACTAAGCTGTGTGATGTAAACAGAGCCAGTCTAGTGCCTGTCCCACTGATGATGTTATCTCTTCTTGGCAGATGTCCCCTAAGATGTTTTGAGTCATTGCTTTCCACCTAGCAGGCAAGCTGGCCCTCTAGTCCAGGCAGCTCACCCTCCTTCCTTCCACCAGGTGTGGGTGTGTCTGGGACAAGTAATGGGGACACCAGTCAGGGCACTTTGCAGTCCCCAACCTCGATGCCACAGTCTTTGAAGAAAGGGCAGAGAGACAGAAAGGGAGATTGGAGAAGAGGCCTAGTGGGAGACTCAAAACCTTCAGGAAGACAGGGGGCTAAGGAGGTCACAGAGCTACCAGGAGGGCCAGGTGTAGCATCAGAGACAGGGTTAGGACCAAGACTCCCATGGACTCCATATGGGAAGCCTGACTTAAAACATATCTGACCCATTGATCGTATTCAGTGATGTCCGTGTAAATTGAGGGGACAAGAGCTTGACCACAGCTGACGCCCCAGCTCATGATCCCCACCTGGGTCCAAGTGTTGTCAGATTCACAGACAAGGGGGTTCCCAGAATTTCCCTGAAAAAGAAGAGAAAGAAACCAACTGTTGGGATGGAAGAGAGAGCAGACTGCATTGCAAGGTGCTGGAAGACCTTCTCAGGCACCCAGAGACTCTCCCAGGCCTAGCTTCTTTTAATGACTGAGATTTAACCGATGAAAAGCTCCCATGAAAATTTCAGCACTCTCTGAGCAATGATACGCCCTCTGTGGCAATCAGGCACACAGACACAAGTTGCGAAGCCAGTGGAGCCCAGAATAGCAGTTGTATATTGAAATTTAACTTGAGAGTCCCTAATCTACAGATACCAAATTCTGTCCGATAAACCTCTAAGCCTGTCATAACTTATAACCCAGCAACTGTGGTAGCCCTGGCTTCTAGAGTATGTAGCCTGCAGAGCCCACTCCAGCACCAGGCCAGTGTCTAGTTAGACAGGTCAATCCTGGGTCTTCAAGAACGTAAATATTTTGAGCATCATCATTGCAATGAGGTATTGGAGCCCTGACCACTGCCTTAGAAGTTCTCCCTGTCCTGACTTCATTGAGGAGCCCCCTCCACAGGTCAACAGCATCACCCTCAAGAGCCTGAGATGTGTTCAACATCCACTTCCAGAGCCATTCTACATGGCTTTGCCCTAACCTAAACCCAAGGCCCTACAAGCAGTCACCTCAAACACATCTTCCTGCCACCTCAGACTCTGCTTAAAACTCCTAGATGATGGAGCAAGATGAAAAGACTCCAGTCCTGGCACCATACACCTAAGGGCGTCACTTAACTAGATGGTAACTGACCACACTCACTCACCTTCACCTCCCAGTCCTGGCTGGGCCAGTCTAGAAATTTGACTTAGCCCTCCAGGCTGCATATATTCCAGCTCTGACCACTTGTATGGCCACATTTCTTATCCCACAGCTCCAAACACATACGAAACTTTCTTCATCATAAGACTTCTGAACTCTTAAGCATGCCTGTGCTTCATCACAACAACAGTACTCTCTCCTTCCCAAGAAATTCAAATTTGTACCCATGATTAGCCCAAAACCCCCGTCTCAAGGGTGCAGACTATTCGGAGGGAAGAAATGGACCTGGGGATCCCAGAGGTAGAAACATCTCCAGTTTCTCTCCTTGCATTTTGCCTTCCAGAGATTTACAATGTCTATGCTGCAAGGGTGTGATGTGGGTCAACAAAGGCAATATAGGTCAAATGTTCACATTTGCATATTTACATAAATCTTAGTGGAAAGCACTGCTTGCATTATCACCCCCCTCCCCCGATTAAAATGCTTTAGCAAGGTCCCTAGTAGGAAAGGCTAACCCTTTTAGGAGGACCAGGCCAGGCCAACTCATAAGAAACATGAGAATTCACTCCATAAACCTTAACCTTTATGCAGCATGTAGCAGCCAGGCACAGTGGCTCACACCTTCAATCCCAATGTCAGGAGGTAGAGGCAGAAGGATCTCTATGAGTTCAAGGCCAGCCTGGTTTACATAGTGAGTACCAGGGCTATATAGGGCTAAAAAGTTGGTGGACAACTCAAACCTTTGAGGTGACAACCAAACCATATAGCCTTTAAGGGCCCCATAAACTGACCCAACAAGGACTCTGTCCCAAGTCTTGCTGACCACAGATCATTCCTTTAATCACCAGGTTTTTCGATGTTCCCAACAGTCTCTGGAACAGCTGATTACAGTGCTTCTGGAGAAGAATGCTTTGCTGAACCTCCTGAAGGAGAACTGATACAAACTCTGCATCGATAGAAAGACAATTTAGGATCTATTCCAGAAGACGGGCAGGAGCCATCATCATCCTCTCCGGCTGCCACTGAGAGTGTGAATACACACTTGGTCCATTAAAGGCAGACAGGCTGTGCACTGGAGACCTGTCCCTTAGGAAACTGACAAGAAAAGTCTTGCCAGCCAGAAAATGACAACCGAGTATCTGTCAAAATCTTTATGGTAAAAGGGTCGTGGCTACTGGGCACCAGTATAGCACCTTTGTTTTCTATAATGGGACCATAGACTTCAGACAGGTGGTGCCATAGCAGTGTAGAAAGTCTAAGACAACCCTCTCTAACAACGCTGCTCTAGCTCAGGCCAGCAGTCAGGAGCTCAACCTTTGGAGGAAGAACATTTCAGATTGGTCAGCATCACGTTACCCCAAGCCAAATTTAATTTTGACAAAGGCCATCACTCCTGTCACTCAAAAAACTCCTATCACAGTTGTGATGTACTCGCTGTCAGTCTGTTCTCCGACCTCCTTCCCTGTCAGCCAGCTAGAAACTCACCCCTTCCCCTGCAGACCAGACCCAGATCACCAGGCCATCCCACTTCTGCATCCTGCCAGACAGACTCACCAGTTTCATTCTGTTGGCCCCAGCCGGTCACCCAGCATACTGTCCCATTTTTCACTTGGAAGGGCTTTCTGGGAAGACACACGGGCTGGATGAGCGAGGAGTAATTCACAGGGAAGTACAGCAGAACCAGGGCAATGTCACCCTTCATGGTCTGAATGTCAAAGTCGTAAGGGTAAATGATGTCTCGGACTGGGACCAGGGTCACATTTTCAGATTCAGAATGCAACACGTTGTCACCCAGCATCACCATGTACTCCTCCCGCCTGCAAGGAAGGCTCTCGACTGTTACAGAGATCTTGAAGGGTTTACACACTCGCTCTACACGTGATGCATGCTTCTAAGCCTAGCCTCATATCCCATGCCAGGCATCAGCCCACTTCCTCCCTCCAAACCACACCCCTTTCTCCAGGACCCCCAACCACACCTAGTGTGGTTTCTAGACCAGTGTAACCTGGAAACCTGATAAACAGATGATACTCAGGTATTGCATGAGACTGGATAGAAATCCTTGGGTCGTCACTCCTTTTACAGATAAAGAGAAAAATTCTTTTCTTTCTTTTCTTTTTGGATGAAAAAAATATTAAAAGATGGGGGACAGGACACCCTAAATCAAGTCCCCAAATACTCACTCATATATGCAGTGGGCTGCAGTCAACACCCATTGGTCGCTGATGAGGGAGCCTCCACATACATGTTCATTTTTACTCTGCAGGCTCACCTGCCAAGGCCACTTCCTCCCTGCAGTTAAACTTCCATGATTTATCTCCATAATTCTATGGCCGCAAGTGTCTAAAGAGAAATTAAAAGTGATGCCACTACTCCACACCTCCATCCCATTCCACACACAGTCAAGGTCATTCATTCTCAGAAAGGGACTGTCTCTCCACTCCTCCAAGGACACGAGCTGACCTCCCGACTGGGTTGCCCTTTGACCTCCCAGACAGGCCTGGCACCAGCTGTCGTACCTGGAGAAAACGGTCCTCCTAGAGAGCTCCTCCTGGATTCCAAGATAATTTTGGTTGTGGTGGCTGAAGGAGGCCCTGATCCTAGAGTCTCAGTCCGGTCTAGAGACACCGGAACTACTGAAGGATGCGAAATACTCAGGGGTTTCAAGAGGCTCTGCTGTGCCGGGGCCTCTGGATTACTCCGGGGCCTCCGGAGCCTCCGGGGCCTGTATATCACTCCGGAATCCTCCCTGGGTTTGTAAGTACCACCTGAGGAAGGGACCAACAGGAAAAGCTCAGCGTGAGCAACACCTGTGCCGGTGCAGCTGCTGGCTTCTGGGCTGACTGTCCCTACAGCACCAGCACTGTCACCAACGCCAACACCATCACCATGGCCACTCCCGCCCAAGCCAAGTTCCATGAAGCCACACCTCCCCCACTCTCCCACCAGGACCCCTGTCCCCAGCTAAGGCCTCACTGAACAGAGGCTGAAGAAGCTGAAGCCAGACCAGGAAGGCTAGGAAGCCGCCCCTGTATCCCCTACAGAAGCCACCCATCCAAGCCTTGGATTCAGGCAATCCCTCTCCTGGTACTCCCCCGCCCCCACCGTCCAGTAGTGTCTCGCGCAGGTGCCTTTGTGTGGGCAGGACGGCTGTGTGCGCGTAGGTCCAGAGTTACGCCTCAAGATGTCGGCTGCCTCAGTCATCCACTCAAAAGCTAGCTGGGTAGCACTGTCTTAGGGACTTTGAAGGCATACTAGATCTTATCAATATTAGATAAAAAGGGGGCTGGAGCACTTGCTGCTAGACCCGGATTCAGTTTCCAGCACCCACATGGTGGCTCACAACAACTCGTAACTCCAGTTCCAGGGGATTTCGTCTCTCTTCTGACCTCTATGAGCCCCAGGTGCGCACGTGCACACGCACGAGCACACACACACACACACAGAGAAAGAGAGCTCTCACACAGATGAATTTAAAAATAATATTTTAAAAATTTAATTAAAAGCCTACCCCAGTCCCAGACAACATATGTCATACAAAATAATCTGGCAATTTCCCCTTTAATCTCTGGTGGTAAAATAAAGCCCATCCCCCAAACGTCAGAAATACACAGCTCTGGTAATCAATGTACAGCAGCAATGCATAGCTACAATTCAGGTCAAGACACAGGATTGTGCCAGTGGTTCAGAAGCCCCTCCATGTGCCTTCCAAGACACAACAAGAGGCTGTTCTCTAGCATTCTTCCATCTTCCTTTCATGTAATCAGCCACTCCCGTGTTCTGTAGTACCCAGCCCCAGACATGCTTTCCCACATGCTGTGCTTGAGTCTGGAAAGGCTTTTTTTCTTCCACTTACTATATCGTTAAGAGATGCTCAAGACTGTGTTTCCTCCTTCTATCACTCACTCATGTGCAGAAATCTCCTGCAGTCTTAGATTCTTTGAATCTGACTCAGTCTTAGTCTTCCTCCTTCTCTATTTCCTGCAAGTTCACAGTGAGATCCGGGTCCTGGCCCTTTGTTAACTAGCCAGGTGTTATATTCTTTTTGGAGACACACAATGTCTACGTGCTTTCCTTTTTTAATATATTTTTTTAATTTTATGTATATGAATGTTTTGCCTGCAGGTATGTGAGTGCACAGCATGTGTGCTTGGTGCCCATAGAGGCCGGAAGAGAGCACTAGACTCCCTGGAACTAGAGTTGAGGATGCCATATGGGTCCCGGGACCTGAACCAAGATCCTCTGCAAGAGCAGCCAGCTCTTAACGGCTGAGCCTTCTCTCCAGCCCCGCCACATGGTTCTTTTGTGACTTTAGGAATGGTTTGATGATTTTGCCTAGAAACACTAATCCCTTGGGGGATTGAAAATAGTGATCTCATAATTATACCATTTTTCTTTCATTTGACAGCTGGGAATGTTTTATCAAGAGTTTGGATATTAACACGCTTTACAGGTTTTAAAGAATTGCATCTATCATTCCTGCTGTGGTGGATTAGAAAACCCAGCCACAAAATATTTTGGACCTTTACCCACCAAGACATGAAATTCATTCATCCAGGAGTGGTAGCACACACTGTAATGCCAACAATCAGGTGTGAGAGGCAGTAAAACAGCCTGCTTAAGTTCTGCCTGGGCTTCCTGGTGCTAAAAAGTAAGACCTCGCCTCAAATAATAAATAGAGTGGAATTCATTCCCCCATCCTTATTGGCCTTGTGACTTGCTTCTAACTTCAGTCATGTAGACTGTCCTGAGAGCTTGGTTCTGTTGGCGGATGAGTGTCTCCCCTCCCCCCAAACAAAAACAAAACAAAAAACCTCAACACCATCCAGTACACGGCATTATGCTTTATAAAGACATCATAAGCGTTGTTAGCAAATACTGAACCATTGCTCCTGTTGGAAATCCAGGCTTACACTCCGCGAGTATGCTTACAGTATTCTCGGCCGGCTGGTCTCCATTTCTAAGTGCGTTACTCTGTAAAGACAGCTCCTACATCCACTCTGCTAGTTGACCACACTCCGGCCCGTGGCACTTCTAATCTGTGCTTAAGGAAACCTGCTCCGAGAAAACTCTTCTCCACGATGTACATCATGGCTTTCTTCACTTAGGAATGCTAAGCAGCGGTTCAGATTATTGTTGCGGTTCTTTCAAATTGGTGGAAAAAATTCCAGCAAAATCCACAAATATGTAAGAAAAATGGGGTGCTAAACACTTGTTTAAATAAGACCTGAAGGAAGCTGAGAAATCATCGTGCTAGTCAGCTTTTTCGAGGCGCATGCGTACCAGATGCTCTGCCACTCTGTGTGGAGGCGCATGCGTATCAGATGCTTCATTGCTCTGAGTCTCTAGGATGAAATGTCGAGTAGGGAAGAGCTCTGCACTGCGTGAAGCCATAAAATTTGGGATGTTACCAGCAATGGACCCCTCAAACTCTTCCTCACACTCGTATTATTCCGTTTTGCCAAGCATGGTTCCTGGAAGCCGTCTTGAGGGCAATGAGCACGGTGGGTTGAGGAGAAGTACGGTGTCACTGCGAGATGCCGCATAAGAGCCAATGAAGCAGGATTGGAGGTTCAGAGGAGCTGAGCTACAAGCAGCTGTGGCTGAGAAGGTCTCTGCTGGTTTTACCAGAGGCCCTTCCAAGCCTGACCAGAAGTAAAGGGCTGGGTCTCTCTCTCTCTCTCTCTCTCTCTCTCTCTCTCTCTCTCTCTCTCTCTCTCGTATTTTGGCTGCATGGACCCATAGAGGTCAAAAGAGTTCATCAGATCTCCTAGGACTGGATTTTTAAGGATATTTATGATATTATGTTATTCTCAGCACCATGTGGGTGCTGAGAATTGAACCTAGGTTCTTAACCTCTGAGCCATCTCTCCAGCCCCGACCCCTGTGGTCTTTAATAGTGAACTTGCTGTCTAGAATGATGGGAAATCTCAAATTCCTTTTAGGCATTTCCTATTCACACCTATAGATTTCTTTCAAGCCTTCTCTCTGGGCAAGCCTGGGGAAAATGGCATTCTAAGACCACCAAATCTGGCCACTAGAAATGGTCACTGATAGCTGGATCTCCTGGCCTTTATGACCAGAAACTGTAAGCACCATGTGTAGGTTTTGTTTCACTTTTTGTAAAAGTCTAGTGTGTTCAGTAAACTCACTGTCTGACCCCCACCTCCTCCTCTCTCTGCATCATCCCTTTAGAGAGAGGTTCCACCCAACCACCACGCTCCTTAACTAGAGTCTTTCTAATAACTTCTGTCTTGGATTGGTTCTTGTTCCTCTACTCCAGGTGGAGCAGAGGTTCTAGTACTCCAGGGGGCTGAAGTACCACAGCTCCAGGCCAGGACATTTTACAAGCCAAAATATCGCTGCCATGATCCTCTGAGGTGCCCCATCCCTACTGGAGTTTGAAGAGGATATGGCCACACAGTGCTTGGCTGGGATTGGGGTGGCCATGGTGATGGTGTTGATTGATGGTTTTGATTGATGGTTTTGGTGGTGCTGTTGCTGTTGGGACAGTCAGTTCGTATTGGTGTCTGCTCTTCCTCACATAGGACTTACAGGCCCAAGGAGGATTCTGAGAGATGCCGAAAGCCCTGAGGCCCTGGCATTGAGGAATAACCTGGGATTCACAGAAATTCCAGATCCCTTAACTCCTGTGTTTCCAGCCCCCACAGGATCTCCAAAACAAGGGCTTCCTGACATGGTGGCCACAGTGAGAAGAATCTTAGAATCCAATGGCAGTTCCCACACACTGCTTCTGGTACCAGAACTCTCCAAACCTGCCTGTGAGATCAAAGCACAGCCCAGTCAGACTGGGAAGGAGGAATCGGCTCCTATCCTAGAGGGTTAAAGAGACATCCCTTCCTGAGGATGACACTGACTATACAGGCAGCCCATATGTGAACATGGGTTGGGAATATGGTATAGAAGTCATTAACCAATCAGTAGCAACAAAAGCAATACACCCCAATACAGGAGAGTCTAAGGTTGGTTTTCGTTTGTTTGTTTTTGTTTTTTGTTTGTTTGTTCAATTGAGACAGGGTTTCTCTGTAGCTCTGGCTGACCTGGAACTTGCTCTGTAGACCAGGGTAGCCTCGAACTCATAGATATCTGCCCCTGCCTCCTAGGCGCTGGGATTAAAGGTGTGTACCATGATAGGCAGCTTCACGAAGAGTCTCAAGCTGTGGCGGCAGCATCTGCACAAGCCGCCAAGATGCTGAAGAGGAAGGGCAGCTTCGTGGACAGGTCGGTGAGGGCAGAGCCTACAGAGAGTTTGTCTGCCAAACTTGTACTACAAACATGAAGAAGCCAAAAAAAGGAACAGGAAAGGGCACATCTTGTCTTCACACACCCAAAAATAAATAAATGCAAGTAAAAAGGACTTGACACCCCAAAAGGCCATGAACTCATGAGCTCACTGTGGATGTGGCTGCACCCACTGAACCCAGGGGGTGACTAGTAAAAAGGAAGAAAGCAAGGGAGGGAGGGAGGGATTGAGGGAGGGAGGGAGAGAGGGGAGGAGGGAGGGAGGGAGGGAGAACATGGCATGAAAGTGGTTAGGGAACTTTCCGGGGAAGAAGGATCAAGATACACAGAATATGTGTGTGAAATTTTCAAAGAATAAAAGATTTTTAAAAAAGGAACCGCAGCGAAGTATTACTTATCTTATTAAAGGTGGCCTCTCGAGATTAGAGCATGAGGGATGGAGAGATGTTTCAGTGGTTAAGAGCACTTGCTGCCCTTCCAAAGACCCTCATTTGGTTCCCAGTACCCTTGTCAAACAGTCCACATCTGCCTTTAACTCTAGTTCTGGGAGATCTGACACCCTCTTCTGGCTTCTGCAGATACTCATACATAGACATAAATAAAAATAAACCTTTAAAAAAGATTATGTTAATGCCTTTACACAACTTTAAAAAGAAAAACAGATAACATGGAATACACACACACACACACACACACACACACACACACACACATGCACCCTTACTGCTTAGAAAGGACTACATTGGTTACTTCTAGCAAACATTTAAGGGAAAAAAAATTCTATACAAACTT